GGTTCGGTTGTTCTTCTCTGGTTCTCCTGTTTCTTCAGGCTTTTCCTGGTGTTGATTTTCCTCTTCCTGATCTTTTCTTTCCTCCTCCTCGTGTTCTGGGAGTGGAGCTTCTAATGTCTCCATTCTATCCCTCACCTTCGTTCCCCTCTCGACCTGGACCTGATCGTGTGTGTCCAGTTCCAGTCTCTCAGCTTGTTCCTCCTTGTCACTATTTTCAGTTTGTAATTGTTTCTGTATTTCAATCTGTTCTTCTTCCCTAATGTTCTGTCCACATGTTTCTCTTTGTTCCTCATCTTTTTCATCACTTTCTCTCTTGTCTGTTTCTTCGTCTCCTTCTTGTTTTCCATTTATACCGCTGCACTCCTTTCTCCCCCTCAGTCCCTCGCTCCCTTGGCTCTGCTCCTCCTCTGCCGGGGATCTTTCTCTCCTCGTCTCAGACAGACTTTTATTTCTCCCTCTTGTCTGTCTTTTTGGAAGACACTCCACTTGGTCCTTGTCCTCTTTTGATCTCGTCCCTCTTTTATTTCTGGCACTGACTTGACGTGTTGCAGCCTCCGACTGTTTCCTCCTCTGTCTCTCAGGTTGTTCGACAGCCTCAGCGACTGCCAGAGGTTGTTGTACTTCCTCCTCCTCCTCTTCTTCAGGTTGCTTCACCTTTGCCTTAGTTTTCCTTTGACCTGACACTGATTCCTCACTCTCTGTGTCCTCACCCTTGACCTTGGGCTGGACGTCCACACTGAGAGGCTGTGTCTCCTCATCCTCTGGCTGCAGTGCTTTTGTCTTTCTCTTACGTTGCCCTATCATCAAATCGTCTTCATCCTTGGTCTCGCTGTCAACGTGAGGCTGAGCTGCTGCAGGAAACACTTCAGAACTACAGATGATCTGTGTCTCTGCCTCACGTGTCGCTGCTTTTGCTCGGCTTTCTGGAGGAGATTCTCCTTCCTGGCCAAGTTCAGTTTGAACGGGTTGTACTGACTGAGTTTCACCAGCAGAGGTCTCAGAGTTTCGGAGCGTTTGGCTCTCCTCCTCCTGAAGGTGCAGTTGTTTCGCTTTCCTTTTTCGTGGTAGGAGAAACGACTGGCTTTCGTCACTCTCTTCTTCTTCGCAGTCATTACTCAGATGATTTCCTGGAGAAGCAGCGTCATCGTCGCTGTCATCATTTTCACTTGCAGCCATCGGTTGGGTTTCAGCGATGGAGAAACCTGAGCCTGTGACAGGTTGAAGACGCTTTGATTTTATTTTTTGTGGAACTTGAAAGAAATCTTCGTCATCACTAGTTTTCATGGGCTGAGTTTCAGCCATGAGGAAGACTTCACCAACTGACCTCTGCTGAGGTGGAGCCCCCTCTGGCTGGTCGGTCTCCTCACTGTCAGACACCGGTCGGGTTTCAATCAGCTGAGTCTCAGCCGTTTCAATCCTGTGTTTTTCCTGCTGCTCGTCTGTTTCATGCTGAGGATCAGAAGAGCTTTTTGATTCGTACGCCTGCGTGGTCTCTAACTCCAGACTTTGCTGAGATTCTTTCTCAGACGTGACTGAACATCTGGGCGAGTCCTCAGCCTCCTCGTTGGCCCGTGTAGCCTCCAGATGTGGATCAGCTGCATATTCTTGGGTCTGATCCCAAAACACACTGGTTCCCACAGGGATAAAGGCCTGGGTTTCCTCCGTGTCCTGGTCCGGAGCCTGGGCCTGGAGGTGGCTGCTGTCAGACAGTCCCAGCTGAAACGATCCTCCTCGGCTGGAATGTGGATCGTTTTCATCACCAGGTGACTCAGTAGCGGCATCTACGGCTTGTTTCTCTGCAGAGTTGCTTTGGCAGTTTTGACTTTGGAGAATGAAGGCCTGGGTACTGGCCTCGGCAACGTTTTCTTCCTCCTCTTTCTCTGAGCTGGAGGACGAGTCATCAGGGCCTCCTGCACCTGGGGTACGGAGAAGACAAAGTGAAGTTAGTGAAATCAGAACGACGTGATGCCTCACTGTTAGAAATATTACACTCACCACTGAATGGAACAGAAGGACAAAGGAACGGCTGGGTCTCCAGCTCTTCCACTTTTCTTTCTGAAGTCATCAGATGAACAATAAACAATAATTAGAATTAAGTTTACACGACGAGCACCAATTAGACCAGTGCGTCCATACATTATATATTTTATATTGTAATTAACACCGATGTTGGGGAGAGTATGAAAGAGTGATCACCTGACAGCTGTACAGGAGTAGAACAGTTCTGTGGCAGTGGAACCAACATCTGACATGTGTTCTCTCTGCACAGCTCAGGCATCTGCCCCTCCTCAGTCTCCTCCTCCTCCTCCTCCTCCACGTCTGTGTCACCATCACTGTTCACACTCAGGTCAGGGGGCTTCGAACTCTCCTCGACCGGGCGGTTGTTGGATCCGTCCACTGCGGTGCCTGTTCCAGCAGCTCCTGCCCCGACGGCCGTGGAGACGGTGGCAGCAGGAGGTCCAACCTCGGCAGAATCATCTTCAACGTCTGTGTCGCTGTCGGACAAAATATCCGGGCCAACTGACGCAGCGGTGGATAATTCTTTGGCCGAAACCACGGGAGGTTCAGTGAGATCAGGAGTGGGCATCTCCTCGTCATCTGTGTCGCTTTCAAGATGGAGGCCGTGATGAGGGGCAGCGGCAGAGTCGTCCTGATTGGGATTTACTTCCAATCTAGACGGGGTTTCATCCAGCGTTGAGTTCGACCGGTTTGGTGCAGAGTCTCCGTCCTCCTCTTCAACGTCAGTGTCACTGTCCATGTGAAGGTCTTTAACATCTGCTGGAGGAGCAGGAGCATCAGCATCAGCATCAGCAGCAGCAGCATCAACATGGTCTTCCACGTCAGTGTCACTCTCCACAGTGACTTCCTTGGACGGTGAACCTGAGTCCACAGCAGGAGGTTTGGTTTCATCTGCAGCAGCCGTCGTCGTCGTCTCAGAGTTTTCATCTTCATCAACATCAGTGTCACTGTCTAAATGAAAATCATCTATTTTCAGTTTCTTGGTGATTTGATTTGTGTTTGAGGACTCAGGACCACTGGACCTGGCCCCCTCCCCTTCCTCCTCTTCTTCCACATCGGTGCAGACTGATGTCATAGACACAGAGAGTTTATTTTGTCCTAAGACACTGACGGCTGGTTCTGATGTCACTGGCACGTTTTGGTCATTTTTCTTTGTCTCCATCACTTCTGGTGTCGCCCCTCCCCTCTCCTTCTCCTCCTCCTTCTCCTCCTCCTGCTCCTCCTCCTCCTCTTCACTGTCATCCACAATGGCAAATGTCTTTTTTCCCTTTAAGGGCTGTCTGGCCACATTTACTTCTGCCTTCTCTTCGCTGAAGTTGACACGTCTGTACAGTCTATTTTTAGAGGAGGAGGAGGACGATGGGGTCATGGGACTTTCGACCTCACTGTGAATCAGTGCAGACAGAGGGCAGTTATTAGAAGTGGGACTTGAAAGAGAGGAGGAGAAACAATAAAAAGGACTCAGCTATAAAACATTTCAAGTACCTCTCAGGGACAGTTTTGTTTGCCGGACTCAGGAATGTAGAGCAAGCTGGACTGGATTTGTGTGAGTCAGAGTCAAACACTGTAAACAGAAATGGTGTTTTAAAAGATCAAAGACAGGAACATTGTCCTTTTTTCCCAAGCATTTATGTGATTTACGTACCGAGAACTTTGTCTCCGTCTTTTTCCCCATCTGAGTCCACGTCAGATTCTGGGACCAGGATCTCCTCTGGCTGAGTCGGCGTTTGCTCCACAGACAGACAATTCATTTGGACAGCGGTCTTTGTTGTAGATGTTCTAGCTTTTGTGTCTCCGTTCACCAACTCCTCACAGTCATTTAGGTCACCCACATTCTCCCCCGATGAATCTGGCACGCTCTCTTTTATCCGAAAACTTTTGCACACAGGAGTCTTTGTGACCTTCTCCAAACAGACAGCGTTTACACTGACAAACTGACACGGTATGTCTGCCAACACCAAACTGTCGCCATCACTGAGGGCATAGCGTACATTTGGGGTCAATTTTAAGCGACCTTTGCGGGTTCCATTCATGCTCCCTAGATCCCAGACTAAAGCCTCCAAGTCCACTCCGCTGCGACGACCTCTTCTGCTGTAGACGGAGATGCTAATGGTTACATGCTTCTTGGATATCGAGGGTGCCGGCACAGGGAGGGTGCAGGAGCTGGGGTCTCGACCCAACACATTATCTCCCACAAACAGGTGAAGCTCTAGGTAACAAAGTGTAACACGTCCATCGTTAAAATACTATACAGACATGATCAGTTATCACAACAAAAGGACAGGACAGTCACCTGTTTCCGGGATGTGTTCGTTTCGTAAGATGCACAGTTTAGCAACTGGTCGACACCTGTTGTCATCCTCCTCCTCCTCTTCATTTTCAGATTCATCTGATTTCAAGACTGAATCACTGATCGCCTGAGTTGCATCCATTTCTCATGAGACCAGATGCCTCCTGTACAGAAGCACTTATTCGTTAAAATAAGGAAAACTTAACGTTGATGTCCCACAGCTTTGTGTTGCCTTTTTAGATGTTCTAAGCACAAACTTTGCAGCATTTTGTTACGAGTTATAATTAAATATGGTCTCTTCTTTCACTGCTGCCCTCATTCGTCAGTAGTATGTATGGTTGCATGCAGTTAATATCAAATGACAAAATACAAAAAATAATAAACAATGTTTGAAAAAGCGTTGCACAACAACTTCCGGTCAGTATCAAAACTACGGCTCCTAAGTGTAGCCCCCTGAGCTGTAACTAGACTCAACTCCATAATAACGAACATGCACTTTATCTTGTTTTAATGTTAACACAGTTGACCCTATCGAGAAAAATAATATTGTTTATTCACTATTATACAAACTGAGAGGTTACGGTAACGTGCGCTATGCCTAGCTGTGTGTGTGTGTGTCATCTTCAAGAAAACAAAGACGTTTCTTGTTTGAAACACGAATGCATTACATGTAAATGTGTTTTTCTAACATGGCTGTGAACAATCACAAGGTTTCACTGAAGCTTACCTTCACACTGTTCACGTCTTTCAGTGGAAATAAATACAAGGAACGTCCGGGAAAACTCTGACACCGCCCACTTAAGTTCATTCAACGGCCGGCAGTTTGGTAAAACGACCGTCCCTCACGTTTCCACGACTGTGATTGGGCAAAATACCAGACTCAAGATTCGCCAGTGTGAAATAGTTTCGCGCCTTACGCAAATACGTCTTAAAGGGACCGCAAGTGCTTATGTCAACGCCGCAGTGACGGTAAGGAAGTACGCTGAAGTTGTCGCCATCTTGGAAGTGGCTTTTCATCAAGATGCCGAAGTCGTGTTCTGCCTGGGGTTGTAAAAATCGATGCACACGCATTGCTAGATCGAGAGGAATCACTTTTCACAAGTGAGTTCGAGAAATTATTTGTGTATCTGAACTGTAGAGTCACGTTGACCGCTCGATAAGCAAATGTTGTTGCACCACACGATCGCGGTTAACAACGGATTAGATGGCTCTCTATCGGCCACCCTACAAACTGGTGACTAACCCAATACTGTACTTGTTAATAGTTTCGGAAATTATCTCGTTAAATTATTTAGAGTACAAATAAACACTAAAACATACGAGTCATTTTATGATGACGTTTATTCACCAGTAACGTGAGGATAGTAAATATGTGGAGCAACGTTTTTGTTGTTATTATTTGTTTTTATTTTCACTAGCATTACACATTCATGACAACATTTTTTATTTACTTGGACTGACGTGGTGTTATGTTATTTTAAAGAATCTCTTTGTTAGTGTCACAGTAGGTTCTGTGCTTTCGTTTATTTGCCGTTTAGATGTCGACACTCATTTAACGTTTGTTTTTCTCATTTTTAAGGTTCCCCAAACGTGTGGATATAAGGAAACAATGGGAAGTGGCCCTAAAAAGGAACCATTTCAGCGCCACTCGGGCATCCGTACTTTGTAGCGCTCACTTCAGACCAGAGGAATTCGACTGCACGGGACAAACCGTCAGACTCAGAGATGGCGTTATTCCCTCCGTTTTCACATTCCCTGCTCATCTGCAAAAAGTAGGTGCAACGCAGAGACTTTAACGATTAGGTGACGTAATATCACACTTTATATATTTCACTTTAACTATGTGTTATTTCGAAACACCAAATTAAGACCTTAAACTATTTAAATTTAAGAGATATCATTACATACGTAAATACCTTGTGATGTTATTACATTATTATTGTTATTACAATTCAGAAAATCGATACAAGGCAGTGCATTACTCATTTGTACCCTAAAATTAAATATAAACATTCAACTTTTAACATTTTCTAAACCAATTCGGTGACAATCTAGTTTTGTTTCTCCTTTCTGTTTTCTGTGTCTTAACTAGTTGTTTTGGCAAACAATGAGGTTCTTTAAGAGATGTTGTTTTTTTGTTTGTTTTTAGCATGTAAAGACTCGGACCACCCGGACGTCAATAAAGGCTCAGGAGAGCAGCAATTCCATTGACTTTTCAAGACCACAACAAAGCAAGACACCACACCGGTCCAGACCTGTCCAGCAGCCAGTACCGCAGCCTGCACCCAACGATGTGAGTCCTAAATCACACTGACTCTGTCGGCGAGTCACAAGAAGTAATCCTCGTCTAGATAAACTGTACGACACTCCGTCACTACAGAGTTAATCTTCCCGCTTCTGACTTTATGGTTTGTTGTACTGTAAAAAAATGCCGTTGCGTAATGGAGCCTTAATCTGCTATACAAACAAAGCTACAGCAACAGTGTTGATTTCAGATGCTGACTGACCATTTCCATCCTTCCTGTACCAGGACCACCTTTATGCACTTCCAACATCTCCCTCTGACATCACAGCCAAACTCAATCAAGCTCTAGCCAGGGTGGAAAGTCTGGAAAGACATATAAGAAATGCCAAGGATCGTGAACGAAAGGCGAAGAGCATAGTCCACGCTCTCCTGGAAGACCTGAGGCAGAAAACACTAATAAACGAGGAACTGAAAGAGAGACTTGATTTGTGCTCTGGTGAATACAGCACCTTCTTCGACCAATGAGCCGATCTTTGTCGATCGTTCGATTGTGGTTTCGCCTGGAGACAAGGTTCTGGAGACAGTTGTGGATGTGATGCCGACAACCAAGACATCTGTTTGTTTGTACATCCTCATTTTAATACATCTTCTTCTCTGGTGATGTTCCTAGACAACATGATTTGTAAATAAAAGTTGACTTGATATTTGTACCTTTGTGTCCTGAGTCAGTTAAACTGTAATCACACCGCTGTCTACAGTGTAACCACCTGGTTCCAGGCCCCAATCAATAATAGAGCTGCTGTTTGTTATGTCTGCCAAACGGTGGCGCCAGAGGACTTCAAGAGAGTTGGAAACCAGGAAAAAGAAATACGTCTACAGAACAACATGTACACTAGCTAGCTAACACGAGATGGAATGGATCGAGTACACTAGCTAGCTAACACGAGATGGACTGGATGGATGGATGTTTAACCAGAGACGTCCAGTCTGAGTAAAACCACAAACCAACAACTTCATTGTGACCAGAGAAACCATTTATATCTACAATATAACCATTCGGTTTATTGACGATAAATCGCGTAGCTTTGATAACACCAGTACAGCAACAGACCCACGAAGCACAAGTCACTACACCAAAACACACCATACAAATACATTATTATTATTAAAAAGACAAATTCATTTTACTCACCAAACCTGATGAGTTGTACAAAACAAATCCCGCCTCCTCTTTCCTTAAGATGAGTCCAATGACTCGTTGTACAGATTAGCCGTGTGTTTTACTTCTAGACAGAAACTAGTCATTTTCTGTCGACATTCCTTCTAACGTTAAACGTCAAAACTGTCCTGTCGGATTTATGACAAGTTTTAATTCGCTTAATTCTGAGAATGTCCGCTCATGGTGGAACAGTGGACGCACAGAACAGTTTTCGAGCGTGTAAGTCGCTAGCTGCAGTTTGCTAAATTCAAAAGTGTGTTCTTTGAGCATCCAATCAAATCACTCAAACCGCTAACGTAACTGTGGGCCAACTAGAAGGCTTTGACATGGCAGTGTGATGCCAACACCGAATCTGATTGGTCTAATAATCTTGTTGCCGTTCGTTTTATTCTCCCAGTGCCAACACTACTGATTCTGAAGGGCAGATTTATTTTAACCTGGCAACATACGAGGCTAAAATATGATTGGATAAAAAAAACATATTAAAATATAAAGCTATAATCTTAGGCTAGGTCTGGATTAATCATAATTAATTAAAATTAGTTAGAAATAATTTCTCAAATAGATGACCAAATAGAATTTAAACACAAACTGATAATGTAGTTCATCTACTTGTTTCCATATTTATATTATATATATATATGTATTTGTTATTGAGTTCTGTATGCAGCCAATGACAGGACGACACGTTTTTATTTAACAAGTTTATTTGTAAGGAATGACAGGAAATACCTAATTCACACTAAAATTGGACTAGAGCATTTTCTTAACACTATACTGTTTCCATGGTTACTGCTGCGGTTGTACTTGGTTACTTCTGGTTTTGGCATCGGTTGGTTGGATCTTCAGGTCTTTATGGGTCCTCTTCGGCCTCCTCCTCGAACTCCCCTTCTTCCTCGGCGGTGGCGTCCTGGTACTGTTGGTACTCGGACACCAGGTCGTTCATGTTGCTCTCGGCCTCGGTGAACTCCATCTCATCCATGCCTTCGCCCGTGTACCAGTGCAAGAAAGCCTTACGACGGAACATAGCTGTGAACTGCTCGGAAATGCGCTTGAAAAGCTCCTGGATGGCGGTGCTGTTGCCAATGAAGGTGACTGCCATCTTCAGGCCACGGGGTGGAATGTCACAGACGGCGGTCTTGACATTGTTGGGAATCCATTCCACAAAGTAGCTGCTGTTCTTGTTCTGGACATTGAGCATCTGCTCGTCCACCTCCTTCATTGACATGCGGCCCCGGAACACAGCTGCGACGGTCAGATAGCGGCCGTGACGTGGGTCGCACGCAGCCATCATATTCTTGGCATCGAACACCTGCTGCGTGAGCTCGGGAACTGTGAGGGCACGGTACTGCTGGCTGCCGCGGCTGGTCAGGGGTGCGAAGCCGGGCATGAAGAAGTGCAAGCGAGGGAAAGGCACCATGTTGACTGCCAGTTTGCGGAGATCAGCGTTGAGCTGGCCGGGGAAACGCAAGCAGGTGGTGACACCGCTCATGGTCGCTGACACCAGGTGGTTAAGGTCTCCGTAGGTGGGCGTGGTCAGTTTAAGAGTACGGAAGCAGATGTCGTACAGAGCCTCGTTGTCAATGCAGTAGGTTTCGTCTGTGTTCTCTACGAGTTGGTGGACGGACAGAGTGGCGTTGTAGGGCTCAACGACGGTGTCGGACACCTGAGGACAGAAGACGCAGAGGTGAGAGGGAGCCACAACACTGAGGGCATCAAAACAACCTCCACGGTTTCGTTACCTTGGGGGAAGGCACAACGCTGAAGGTGTTCATGATACGGTCGGGATACTCTTCACGGATCTTACTGATGAGCAGCGTTCCCATACCAGAGCCGGTTCCACCTCCCAGGGAGTGCGTCAGCTGGAAGCCCTGCAGGCAGTCGCAGCTTTCGGACTCTTTGCGGACAACGTCCAGGACCGAGTCCACCAGCTCGGCTCCCTCTGTGTAGTGACCCTTTGCCCAGTTATTTCCAGCACCGCTCTGACCTGCAGGAGAACCGGTTACATCCATGAAACCCTTCCTTTTTGACAATCAACAAAGAGCCAGAGGTGGCGCCGTATTTTTCTTACCAAAAACAAAGTTGTCTGGTCTGAAGATCTGCCCGAAAGGTCCAGATCTCACGGAGTCCATGGTCCCGGGCTCCAGATCCACCAGAATGGCACGAGGCACATATTTACCTCCTCCACGAGAAAGAGAACAAGAGAAGAGGAGAAGAAGAGGAGAAGAGGAGGAGAAGAGGAGGAGAAGAGGAGGAGAAGAGGAGAAAACACAGACCAGTTTAATATACAGGGAGGAAACAGGCCCAGGTTTGGACAGAATAATGAATAAATCATTAATAAAAGGTCATTATGAGATAACCAACCCGAGGCTTCGTTGTAGTAAACACTGATCCTGTCCAGCTGCAGGTCACTGTCTCCGTGGTAGGTTCCTGTGGGGTCGATGCCATGTTCATCGCTGATCACTTCCCAGAACTGTGAAAAGAAACGACAGGATCATGTGGCAGCAGCTATCGAAACGTGGTTCAGGGCACTGGGAGGGGGGAGGAGGGGGAGGAGGGGGAGAAGGGGGAGGGGCAGTTCTGAGTGTGCAGATTTGGACTGATGTGATTGGCAGGATTTCTTCACCCTTTGGGCCGAGTCACATCACGGCTGTTGATATGTCCACAGTCGTTACAAACTTGGCACAAAGTGGTCCTTTCACATATGCAGTGAAGGCACAAAGAGACCACAGACGCAGCCTGCAGCTCCTGAACACATCATCATCCACTCCATTTGCAGGCAGTCGCGGTTCAGTAAAGACACAGATTGTCATCAGATCTGTATTCACGTCACGTTGCTTCTTTAAAAGATCGCACTCAGATCTTTAAATGTGCGCATGCATTACCTCACAGAGGCCTGTTGGAGGCAGACATCCATTTCCATGCACATATTTTTATTCCATTTTCCACCTCCCACTTCTCTCTGGCCTCACGGTCTGATTTTCTGCTAACAGCAGCAGTCGGGGGATTTGAAGTCATCTGGATAAACAGGCAGCGTTTCAGACACTCAGTCAGCAGCCGTGCACTCGTGGAGTGTCCCGGCATTTAACAACGTCCACGTAGGACTAACCCACACAGAGAAGTAGGACAAAGACTGAACAAAACAAACAAAAAAATCAAAAGGGAGAGCCGAGAGATGACAATGCTGACATGGAGAGCCACCCAGTTAAGACCCAGTAACTGAGGAGGAAGAACCAGGACAATGAGTGTGAGAGCCAAGCCACACCCTGACCTATTTCTCCCACAATGCAGTTGTTCTGCAGTTCTGTCAATCATATCCACCAGACATCTGTATCCATGATTCCTCAGGGAGAGGACACAAACGTCCATCCTGTCCACTGGGACACCACTGAACACCATCACATACA